GTTTCTATCGGGCCGCTTCAGTCTATGCGCATACCTCCTAACCTTAGGATTGTCCTGTGAAACAAGAGGTATCTCCTGACGGGGAAATCTCGGAATCTTAGGTTGTGCAAAAGATCTACGAGGCATATCGCGCTCTCGAAGATATTCCATAGGTACGGGTTGAATGATCACTTCTGCTGCGACCTCAGGCCTGAGATTTCCATCCTTTCTTAGCACACTTTCCATGACTTCCATAATCTGGCCCATCTGAGTCTTCAGTTGATGAACTTCTTCCTTGAGCATTTTCTGATCCTGACGCAAAGCTTGCATATCCACCATGAATTGTCCCATCTGGCTTCGGACTTCCCTTAACTCTGCTTGGACCTGCTCCATAGTCCACTTCTGCTCCATAGTTACCTCGACTTGCATTGTCTGACTTGGACTTTCAAGGTGTCTACGTTCCCCTTGCTTCAAACTCTTTACAGCTCTTCACAAGTTCAACGGAAGTGTCGGGAAATCAACTGCGGGTTATGAATAGAGGATGGGTGAGGCCTTGGTATCTGGATAGAGAAAATGCAAAATGATGCAAAAAATGCTTATGCAAATGCAATGCTATGAGTGCACACGAGAACAGATCCATATCAAGGATCTAAGTCATATATCCTGCACAACAACAAAAGGTATCTCTCCCCTCGGGTGGGCCATCTATTGGTTTACCAAGAGGGTATCCCAAGAGACTTTAAAACAAAGTCCCATGCACTAACCCTCAAAAGTTTTCCATCAGAACGACTACTCGTAAGACGGTAATCCCTTCAAAGGATGAACACGGAGTTATGTTTTAGCAACCTTTGGAATAAGGTTCTAAAAGGTCCTCAGAGTCACGGACTCCCAAGTTGGAAATAAAAACGCCATTACGACTACACGTAAGACATAATCATCCCAAAGGGGTCTATCTGAGCGGTGGGATTCGATCCAACTCAACGAGTCCTAAGTCTCGCAAATCAGAAAGAAACCACCTCCTAATCTTAGTGTATACTCGAAAGCTCGGGTAGAAAGCTTTATCTCACAAACCATCCAATAAACCCAACAGGTTAGAGAATCAAAGCATAAACAAATAAAGCAAATAAAACACAAATACGATAAACAAAAAAGGCTTGGCTTGCTAGGTGTCCCCAGCAGAGTCGCCAGCTGTCGCTACTCGAAAAATGCATCACGCAACGACGGGGAGGCGAAAAGGATAGACAGAAGAGTCGCCACCGAACTTTATTTATCCCATGAGGGGAGAGGAAAATATCGATAAAACCTTAAGAAAGAAATGGATAAGATGGTCTCGTGACCAAGAACGGGTTCGGAAGCCGGTTATGCGAGGGGAAGGTATTAGCACCCCTCGCATCCATCGTACTCGATGGGAACCTTTTGTTTGTCGATGTGTGAATTTATTTGCTTAAACATTATGCTATAAGAAGTGCTCCACAGGGTAAAAGAAGGGTTAAAAACATGAAAGTTAGGAGGAAAGAGAGAACGGGGAAGAAAAGAGAAAGAACAGACTCGGTAGGACTTCGCAATCCTATGCCTACGTATTCTCAATAGAAAGTCAGAGTCGGCGTAGTTCGGGGAACTACAGATATGGGGGAAAAGTGTTCGGCAAGGATTGTGGCCCTTGTGCCTACGTATCTTTACTTGAAAAAGTAAAGAATCAGAGCAGCCGTAGTTCGGCCTACGGTGTGCGGGGAAATTCTGGTAGACGATGCTATCGTGCGCATTCTAGCAGTTAGGTGTATTGCTGCTCGCTCGTTGGAGACTTAGGCGTTACCTGTTTGCGGTAGAACGGACGTAGCATGTCTTTCTGGGAAAGGGTGAAAAAGAAAAAGGGTGCTCGCTAGGATATCGCAATCCTATGCCTACGTATTCTCAATATGCATGAGAAATCAGAGCAACGTAGTTCGTGCCTACGGTGCGGATAACCGGTGTGTTTGCGTGGGTGATGTTATCGTGCGCGTTCTAGCAGTTTAGGTGTTTTGCTGCTCGCTCGTTGGAGACTTATGCGTACCTGTTTGCGGTAGAACGGACGTAACATATCCTATTTGAAAGGTTGGTTTTCGCCATGCGAGGCAAGGTGTCACGTTTGATTGGTTGAATTGTTTTTGGAGCGAGATAGGTCCTCGGATAGTAACCCCTACGGGTAGTACCCAATTCGTTATCTCAAAGTTTTTGTTATAAAAAAGGTGTCGCGAACGAGGCGTCTTTGTATTGAAAGACGAGCGTCGAAACCACCCTCACTACAGTGGGCATCCCTATGCTCGGAGAAGAAGAGGTCTACACCCAATCCTCTCTCTTTAATTCAATGCAAAGAGAACTTCATTCTCTTATTAAAGATGTTTTTGGTTTTGAATGGTAAGTGTTTTGCGACAGAGAACCCTACGGTAAACGTCCGCACTCGGGATAGGAGAAGGCCTACGCCTAACCACTCCACGACCATTCAAGTTTTTGTTACGAAAATGATTTGAAAATGCACTCAGTACGGGACCGAGGTTTTAGGTGAGAAAGGTTACGGAATAAAGTTGTGAAAGCGAGATAGGTGTAAGGAGTCGCGTCTTCGTATTGAAAGACGAGTGTCGAAACCACCCTCACTACAGTGGGCATCCTTGCACTCGAAGAAGAAGAGGTCTACACCCAATCCTCTCTTTTTAATTCAGTACAAAGAAGTCAGTTTATTATTGAAAGTGTTCTCGGCACGGGACCGAGGTTTTAGGAGGAAAAGTTGGAAGCGTCTTCGTATTGAAAGACGAGTGTCGAAACCACCCTCACTACAGTGGGCATCCCAACACTCGAAGAAGAAGAGGTCTACACCCAATCCTCTCTTTTTAATTCAATACCAAGAATTGATTTTAAGGAGATGAGATTTGAAAATGGATGGGAAGCGTCTTCGTATTGAAAGACGAGTGTCGGAACCACCCTCACTACAGTGGGCATCCCAACACTCGGAGAGGAAGAAAGTCTACACTTGATCCCCTCTTTTTAATTCAATGCAAAGATAATTTGATTTTGAAAATTGTTTGACAAAGTTTTTGAATCGAGTCGGGACAAGTAATGAAGAGAGAAAAGAGGTGGTCTCAGATCCAACATTACCTATCAATAATTTGACTGGTAATGAATTATGGAGGTCTCGTCATCGACCAAAAATAGAAAATGGGACAAAGTGACCAATAACAAACGCGAAATAAAATGCTATAAACTTCTAAATGTAAATTGAAATAAAATTCTAAAAAAACTATAACATAAAATATGATATAACAACTTTAATATAAACTAGAAAGTAATATAAAGTTCTAGCAACATATATAATATTAAAATATATATATAAAATAAACAAAACAGTTTTTTTTTAGAAAAAGATAATTTACAAAATAAATATACAAAATAATAATAATAAATAAATAAAAAAAACGAAAAAAAAAACAAACCCAGAAAGTTTCAAATATGCGATGTCCATGGTCAACAACCATCCTTAAGAACCAATTAATCCAAACATATTAACATATGCCAAAGTCAGAAAACAAAACACTACTCAAAAAGACTGACAGTGAGGTCCTCTCCTTTCTCAAAACCAAAACAAAATACTAGCTATGAAACGGCAACAACATCGACCAAAACGTGGATGAAATCACTTCAACCTTATTTCGTTCGTGCACCAAGTCTCATTCCCATTTCTCAAGCTCCATTTCATTCTGAGGTTCGATTCCGTCCACTTGAAATTAGGTTGGGATCCGTTTTCATTCCCTCATCTTCTTCATCTCATTCTATGTTTCGATTCCGAATGGGTTTATTGTGATTTGTTGTTGGTTGAGGGTAAGGTGAATGAAGGTTTACGAGGGTGGTGGACGGGAGCTGCGAAATGGAGGAGTTTGATGGTTCTGGGTTTATTGAGGAAGGAGATTCAACGGGTTTTTCGACGGGTTGCGAATGTGGAGTGAGGTTGAAGATGAGTTCCGGGTTTATTGAGGAAGGAGATTCAACGGGTTTTTCGACGGGTTGCGAATGTGGAGTGAGGTTGAAGATGAGTTCCGTTAGCAGCTAGGGTTTGGCTCTGGGTTGCTTCTCTGGAGAAGGTGAGACCTGGAGGTGGGCGGCTAGGGTTGAGAGCCCCCCTTGAGATTAGGTTCTGATTTTCGATTTTAAGGAGGTTTTTTGAAGCAAGTTCCAAATCCCTTTCTCTTTCTCTTTAATTTTCTTGCCCTTTTTGATGTATCCTGGCTGTTGTTGTTGCAGGTTTGTACAGGCTAGCAGGTTTTGTCCTGTTGTGGTGAATTGATTTTAGGTATGGCAGGGTGTTGTTGTTTTCCTTCTGTCAACATTGTACCTGATGCTCTGCTGCAATTTACGACTTGGTACAGGATATTGCTTTTTATTAATTGCGAGCTGGCTGGTGGTATTTGCTGCATTTCAAAAGGGCATCATGTGTCTTGCGAAGTTAACGTAAGAGGCATTCAGCATATCATGAAAGTTAGTGTGGGACCGGGTTGTTTTGAAGTTGGTGCTGTTGCAACCCGACTTGGTAAATCGGGCAAATATCATGCCATCATATGCATAGGAGCTGTGATACGAGGAGATACAACTCACTATGATGCAGTTGCTAATTCAGCAACATCTGGAGTGCTTTCAGCTGGTCTAAACTCAGGTGTTCCATGCATATTTGGAGTCCTAAAATGCGAGGACATGGATCAGGCTATAAATCGAGCTGGTGGAAAATCTGGGAATAAGGGCGCTGAAGCTGCATTGACTGCTGTTACGGCATCGCCGAATTTCAATTACACAACAATAGTATGAAGTCGAACGGCACATAGCAGCGGTTGATCCCAGCAGCACTTTAACCTCCATCATATCTTCACTAAACAACTTCCAACCACAACCTTGCAGCAACTCTTGCTCTCGTTATACGGCGACGGCAACTTGAGAAAGAGGAGGACTTTGCAAGAGCGCAACAGGTTCTTCTAGCAACTCCATTAGCTGGTAACAGAAACTCACATTTGTGGAAGTGTGCGTACAGGTTGGTTTGTAACGTTTGTTACGTTTTGCAGGCCTTGGCCGATGGTGGGTTGCATAATTGAAAGTGTTGCAGAATTCGAGTTGCCGCTGGTTTTGTAATGGAAATGCGTGGAGCCTGCGTGAGTTTGTTTGGCGGGTTGTTGTGTTGTGGGCTGGTTTAGCTGACCGAGAATCCTTATTTCCTGGTCGAGTTGCTTTATACAGTCCGCAGATTTAGGATCATCAGGAAACAGATCTACCTCTTTCAAGGCACATGAGGCTCCAGTCTCTAGGTTTGTTGCATGATAAACACTTCCAAATGATCCTCGTCCAATTAGTTTTCCTTTCTGCCATTGGCCCTTCATTGAATGAAAATTTTCTGTTGAGTGATGCATCGTGGCACTTGATTGATGTTGTGAAGGTGATTGTTGTGGCTGTGGTGAAGCTCTCGGTGGAAGAGGCAATGGATGTGCATCGGCATGGTTATTCTCCGGCCACACCCTAATGCAAATTTTAGATTGGTGTGGATGAGATCCCCCTTGAATAGTGTAGTGGTGTTTAGGACTGTGGTTTCCCAAGCTACGACGAGAAGACAAGTCAGGACTATGAGACGTTTTAGCAGGCATCCTCAAAATGTCATTAAAATCTTGAGGAAAGTTGATGGAAGGATCAAATAAATCTACATTGCTTAATCTGCGCGGACTAGTAACAGGACTGGAGAACATACTCGTTGGGGCACTCCTAGCAGCAAATTGCAACCTCTCATCGGTAACACCTTCACATTCATTATCATGAGAGTGTTTTCTAGTATCTTTACAAGAGCTCTTGCTCGTCACCAAGCTTCTAACAGGAGGAATATTCACTCTTAAATCATTCTTCGCATTTCCCGTCGTGGCAAAAAACGGTCGACCTAAATTGCTGGAAGACCTTGAACTTCTCACAGCATCATGATCCACCGTCTTTCTGGCACAAGGTAACGTGGCGTGATGATCCGGTCGTCGAGTCAACGGCGACTCCGGCAACGGAAGCGGCAACGGAACAGCCGAAGAAGACCAATGATCAGAGCTAGACCTCAGAGGCGAACCCAGTAAAGAAAACGAAACGCCTTCCGTGGAAAGAAAGGGTTCACCGTCTTGATGATCGGTTGGGTAACAGAGCCTCTTCTGTCTAGTTAACCTCCGCTGCTGAATCGATTGTCCCTTACCTCGATTCGGAGAAGAAGTAGGAGTCGTCATTGGTGAATGTTGTTGAAGTTGAAGTCCTCATTCGAGAGTGATGTATTGATTATTTGGTAGAGTAAGGTTTGCCATGGAAATTGGAAATCTAGAAACAACCACGAAGGAAGCAAAAATGCCAAATTTTCCAATTCAAAGTGTTTTTCTTGACAGGTAGTTTGGCATGAAGGATTTCCGTCCACATCCATACTGGTCGTGTTTTGTGCAAGTGGCTTTTTCACTTTCTTGGATGTGGACTGGCTTGTTTTTTTCATTGCAGGTCAAGGCTTGTGGAGATGTAGCTATGTTAGGTTTTGCCGGATGGTTATGGATTAAGACTTGTAGAAGCTAACTGTGATGAAAGGATGGAATATGTATGTTCTTGGCCAGTTGGTATCGCATCCTTGCAAGCTGTGACGGAATTAAGCTGGTGCTTTGCGTGCTGCGAATGACGCACCAGTTCGTGAGCTGGCATTTTGTAGCAGGCTTTGTTTCTTGTGTAGGTCAGTGGCACATCTACTTAATGTTTTGTTGAAGGTTTTCTACTGTGGTAGTTTTTTTGGATTGTAATTTTTGCTTCTTGTATGTGGCTGATGTGTGTTGCAGGGATTTCGGCATGTTGAAGGCTGCAGCTGCGAAGCACCTTGCAGAAAGGAAATGGATAGTATTCTTATGTAGGTTGGTGCGCGTGAGTTACAAACTTGAAAAGGAATGGTACAATATTGGCTGCTTGTTGCTGCGTGTTGTACGTTCTTGCCAGTTTTGACGTATTCCTCGCGTGCATAACGTACGGGTCCAACACACCAGTCTTATGAGGATGTTTGTGGTGCTTCACGGTTTGTGGTCCTGATTCAATCTGTTGTGCGGTATGGCCTGCTGCAGGAACTTTGATTTCGTCGTGTATGGTTCCGCGACGTCGCTTCCGTCTTTGGTTTCGCTTTACCACAGCAAGTCATGGCTGGCTTATGAAAAAATACAATTGCAGTTGCAATTTGATTACTTTGGTTCCTAAGAAGAGTTGTCTGCTTTAACTTGACATTATCCTTTATTGCTTATGGTGGCTGTATCATGATAGAAACAAATTGTTTGATTTTTTCCTTTTATATATTTTTTAAGAAAATTTTCTCTAACTTTTGTCAAATCCACACTTAACGGGTCCAAAGAGACAATTGGCCTTGATGAATATTTATGGGATTGACTTGAAATATAGTGTAGTAACTAACGTTTATCTTTCCCTTCTTTTTTTTGTTGATAATTTTCCTTATCCTTGTAAATGGGCCTTTTGAATGGTTTGCCTTGAATTCGGGCTTAGTTAAAGATATTGACAAATAATGATGACCAAAACAACGATTGAATCCAAACATCACATAATATGCCTTGAGAACGTGAACTAAATTGAATCTTGATTTGAGATAATTTATGCTCGACTTGGATCTTTTCTTGCTGTGAATTTGAATCATAACTCAACCAATCAACTCAAACAACTGCAATCTCAAGCCCTGAAGCCATCATCTTTCCTTAAAACTGAATTCCAGCAATTTGAACTCTTTATTAAAATTAGACCAAGAATATATTGGAATTCTGAATCGATTCTTTGAGACATAATACTGAATCATGATTCCATCTCGAAGTGGTGTTGAATCAAATAACAAGTTAGAATTCTCCTCTGACACCTACTCAAGATTTGAAAATGACTTGACATATTGCCTAAACGTCCAGACTTTTGATAATCCCCAACCATAAAGCATTGATAATGGGATGAAGTTTGATAGTTTAGTCCATCCTCCTCTTGAAATAGCATAAAACCCTGAATGGAAGGTAAACTGGACCCTGAACTGTGTATGTCATAACCTTGATCGTGAAAATCAACTCATCTGACCATTGAACCCCAGTAATATGCAGGACAAATTTAGGGTGTGACAGATGCCCCTATCTTATTTGCTTAGACCGAGTAAGATGAATTAGTACAGAATTCACTCTTTCAAGGTAGAAGACAATTAGATATAAAGAAGACCCTGAATTTGTCTAAAAAGAAAAGGAATGCCCGAGAATTGAAATGTTGGATAAAGTATACCTCTGAGTAAATTGAAAATAACTGGCAAAAGGTCACCATCACCAAATGGATGATGGGACGAAACACACACGGCTACTATCACCAAAAGGATGATAGAGCAAACACACTTGCACAATCTGACATTAATGACTATGACAGACTCCTCACCAGAAGGATGATGGCGCAAAACAAAATCAACCCTAACACCAAAAGGATGTAGGGATCCATTATCAAAAGGATAATGGAAAACGCACGCTAGTCATGACACCAAAAGGATGCCAGACCCATCACCAAAAGGATGATGGAGCGGAAGACAATCAACCCTAACACCAAAAAGGATGATAGGGGGATAAGCTTCTCTAAAGAGATTGCCACTTATTACTGAAGAAGGATAAGCTTCTCCCAAGAGATTGCCACTTATCATTGAAGAAGGATAAGCTTCTCTGAAGAGATTGCCACTTATCACTGAAGATGGATAAGCTTCTCTGAAGAGATTGCCACTTATCACTGAAGATGGATAAGCTTCTCTGAAGAGATTGCCACTTATCACTGAAGATGGATAAGCTTCTCTGAAGAGATTGCCACTTATCACTGAAGATGGATAAGCTTCTCTGAAGAGATTGCCACTTATCGTTGATGAAGGATAAGCTTCTCTGAAGAGATTGCCACTTATCACTGAAGATGGATAAGCTTCTCCCAAGAGATTGCCACTTATCGTTGATGAAGGATAAGCTTCTCTGAAGAGATTGCCACTTATCACTGAAGATGGATAAGCTTCTCCCAAGAGATTGCCACTTATCGTTGAAGATGGATAAGCTTCTCTGAAGAGATTGCCACTTATCGTTGAAGATGGATAAGCTTCTCTGAAGAGATTGCCACTTATCACTGAAGATGGATAAGCTTCTCTGAAGAGATTGCCACTTATCACTGAAGATGGATAAGCTTCTCTGAAGAGATTGCCACTTATCACTGAAGATGGATAAGCTTCTCTGAAGAGATTGCCACTTATCGTTGATGAAGGATAAGCTTCTCTGAAGAGATTGCCACTTATCGTTGAAGATGGATAAGCTTCTCTGAAGAGATTGCCACTTATCACTGAAGATGGATAAGCTTCTCTGAAGAGATTGCCACTTATCACTGAAGATGGATAAGCTTCTCTGAAGAGATTGCCACTTATCGTTGATGAAGGATAAGCTTCTCTGAAGAGATTGCCACTTATCACTGAAGATGGATAAGCTTCTCTGAAGAGATTGCCACTTATCACTGAAGATGGATAAGCTTCTCTGAAGAGATTGCCACTTATCATTGATGAAGGATAAGCTTCTCTGAAGAGATTGCCACTTATCACTGAAGATGGATAAGCTTCTCCCAAGAGATTGCCACTTATCGTTGATGAAGGATAAGCTTCTCTGAAGAGATTGCCACTTATCACTGAAGATGGATAAGCTTCTCCCAAGAGATTGCCACTTATCGTTGAAGATGGATAAGCTTCTCTGAAGAGATTGCCACTTATCGTTGATGAAGGATAAGCTTCTCTGAAGAGATTGCCACTTATCACTGAAGATGGATAAGCTTCTCCCAAGAGATTGCCACTTATCGTTGAAGATGGATAAGCTTCTCTGAAGAGATTGCCACTTATCACTGAAGTCTTCTGGAGACAACTCACTGGGAAACGCCCATGGACTTACTGGAGATGCCCCTGTCCGGGCCGAATGTTGATTTGAAGATCTTAATTAACCACGAGTTTGAAGTATGTCGTGGGAAATACCCATGGTCTTGAAAAGATGCCCCTGACTGGGCCGGATCTTGCTTTGATACCTTGAATTTCGTGGGATGACCCACGACCCTTGCAAATAATGCCCCTGCTTGGGCTGTATGTGGCTTTGAAGCTCTTGAGTTTGTGGGAGGACCCACTATCTTGCAGAAATGCCCCTGCTTGGGCTGTATGTGGCTTTGAAGCTCTTGAGTTTGTGGGAGGACCCACTATCTTGCAGAAATGCCCCTGCCTGGGCTGCATGTTGCTTTGAAGCTCTTGAGTTTGTGGGAGGACCCACTATCTTGCAGAAATGCCCCTGCCTGGGCTGCATGTTGCTTTGAAGCTCTTGAGTTTGTGGGAGGACCCACGGTCTTGCGGAAAATAACCTTGACCAGGTTGATTATGATCTTGATATCTTCTGACTCTCGTGGGAGAAACCTACGGTCTTGCAAGGGATGCCCCTGACTGGGCTGATGATGATCTTGGAAATCTTCAAAATTGATCCTGGATCTGAACTCGCATATGCGAATGCTTGATGATAATGATACTTCAAAACAAATGGAAATGCAAGTGTTAATGCACGGAGATGCAAGAGCTGAGGAAATATGATACGATATTGGATATGCGTATGATGCACAATGCTTATAAAGCCGAATGCAATGCGTATGATGCATATGATCGCAAATGGTGATGGAAATGCAGGTGAACGGGAATACAGGTTGGAGACACCAGCTTGGTGGACTTGGTGGTTGCCAATGCTTATTGGACTCCGAATTGGAAGTACCAGGTGAGGGCTGGCGTTCGGAGAGTAGACCAGATGGGACTGGTTGGCGAAAGGTTAAGCTGTTAAAGGAGAGCTGATTTTGTGATTTGCCAGATGGAAGCTGGACTTTGGAATAAGGTTTACCGGACAATAACTGGTGAAATGGCTAAAAGAAGGTTGACCAGATGAGAGCTGGTTTAAAAAGCTGAAATATACCAGGCAGGGATTGGTATTCAGCGAAGGGTTGACCAGATAGGACTGGTTTGAAGGTTTAAAGGTTTGTCCAGTTGGGCTGTGAGATGAAGGATCCAATGACAGCAAGGCCCTTTCGGAAGGTTAAGGTTATTTGGGTGAGGTGATGGTATGATTCCCCAACACTCGTTTTGAACTCAACAATTGTTGATGAGGATGAACTTGCTTGAATAACTTGCCAATGAGACGACCTCGAG